ATCAGAAAGAAGGTCATTTTCAATTACGCCTTCCATTTACCTCTGGCTTGTAAGAGCAGCGAGTATTTGCTAAGTCAATAATCAGCCCAAGTTCTTCATTCTGTCCTTAGATTTTGTTAAGAGACCCAAGGGGGAGAAACGTTCTTCTGGAGCAAGATTCTTTTCAAAACTCTGTCAGAAAGAATAAAATAAGGAAGAACATATGTTTCAAATCCTTTATTATCTTATCCATTTATTCAAACCCTGTGATGCTAACATATGAGATTCAAAGTAAAGTTTCTTCCTCTGGAGTTTACAAGCATTATTACGATCCTTTCTTCCAGAGAGATTACATGGAAGAAAATAAGTTTACTTCTATATATTTATTTCTATGTTTGTTTATTTCATGTTGGTCTCCTAACCAGACTGTAAACTCCCAGAGGGCAGGGACTACAGCAATTTTGCCTACCACTGTATTGCCAGCTCCAAGCAGAGTGCCTGAAAATCGACACATAAATAAATAATTCTTGAATATCTACCTATATGAAGGATGACTTTCACTGCTAAATATTCTTTTATGTATTTGGCTTATACATGTACCCTGTTCCATTGATCTCTTTGGTTATTCAAGTGTCAGCAACACACACTTTTTTTTAAATTAGTAGACTAGCTTTAGAGCACTTTGAGATTCATAGCAAAACTGAGCAAAAAGTACACTTTTACCCTCTCTCCTTATACCCTCTCTCCTTCATCCCACACAGCCTTCATCCCACACAGCCTTCCCCATTATCAACATGCCATACCAGTGTGCTTCATTTGTGAGAATTCATGAACCAACACTGACACACCATTATCAATCAAAGTCCATAGTTTATTGCATTCATGGTACAAGTAACTGACTATTTCTTTATTTCTAGTATAGTCATCTCCAAACATTTACATACTGAGATTCATATTACTTTCTTATAAATTAGTTTATTCTTTATTTATAGTTAGGGCATTCCATTGTTGTTTTTTTTTAAATTAAGTTCACAAGTAGGTTGTATTTATCTATGAATTCCATTATGGTGAATTCAGATTTCTGGAAGAATACGGTATTAACTCTTGCTTACCTTTTTTAAAGGACCTTTGAAAGCAATGAAATGAGTCCCAGGCATCCGCTGTTCAACTGGGAGATAGTCTTTCCACCTGTTAATATATTTTTTGTTAGGCAAATTTTATGTTAGGCTGTCTCCCTGCATAGGATGAATGCGCACTGAAAATGGAAATCATATCCCTCTAGGGTAGGTCCCTCTTCTTTATGCTTTGCATTTTGCTGCTCCACTTATTCAACCCCACCTTGTAATAAGCTATACTTCCCTTGTTCCTGTTTTCCCATCTTGAAAACAGATAAAAGGCAACAAAACAATGCAAAGGTCTCAACAAATAAGGGATATCTAAAACCAGAGATGGCCAGAACTTCTGTATCCCTGATAAAACCTAGCCCGGTGTTGACTACTAAGGTATCATTAATACATGCATGTTGACTGAAATAGTTTGAACTCAATTCTTCCCCTTCACAGTTTAGTTTTAGTCCTCATACAAAACCTGATAACAAAATTCCTTAATGCTAGGAATCACAGTGAAAAATAATATCTGAACTGACGTCTGTAAGATGAGTTAGAACTAAGGTTAATTCAGTGCATCTGAAGCATAGAAAGTGAGGGCAAAAGTGGCACAAGATGGGGCCAGAGAAGCAGAGAGGATTCTAGACCACGCAGAGTCTTAAAGGCCAACGGTTTGTTTTCTATTCTCAAAACAATGCTTTTGAGCGATGTTTATGAGCAATGTTCCAACTTGCTTTTTAGGTTTCTTGTGTGAAGAATGGATTGGAAGGAAACAAGATATATGGACACTAGTTAGGACCTAATTGCAACAGACAGGCAAGTTCAGTATTAGGATGTTGAGGAAGAGTTGATAGATTCAAAAGAAATTCAGGAGATAAACTGAAGCGGGCTTAATGGGGTATGAGATGGAGGAAAGGATGGTCTTAGGGAATTAAAGCGTTTACTGCACACATGAGCAAAGTCTCAAAATTAATCATTTGGACGTACAGAGGTAGATCTCTCAAATGACACTGGTTAGGTAGCAACAGCACGCCCTTTATAATTCCGAGAGACAACACAAATCAACTGTTTCGATGGAAAATTCGGCAGTACCCGTGCTTTTTTTCACTCAAACTTAGTTCCAGTTCCTCTTACTCACATTTTCTGTGCCAAAACAACACAGCTTGAGGAATTAAAGGGGATTCCATTTTGTTAATTAAGAAGTGTCCCCAACACTGACTGTCCCATTTTAAAGAGCAGTCCCTCTGCATTTTACCCGAGGAGCCATGGCCAGAGCCTCCCTTTTAAAACGATGGGGGGAAATCAGAACATCACACACTGTTCCTTTCAGCTACTGTGAACTGATCCGCGAGACGACCAATACCCCCTAGCACAGTGCGGACGGGGCAGCGCGATGGGGCAAGTCACCGGAGACAGCACAAGAGACAAAGCCCAGGCCCAGGGGCTCTGAGCTCCACCGGCAACGCCGAGGGGCCAAGGCGTATTACCCTTCCGGGATGTGCTTTCCGCCCTTCCTCCTGGCCAACGAACGTCCGGAAAAGCCGCGACGCTGACCCCAGCGCCCACGGGCATGATGCCACTGGCTCATGTGACCCCCAAGATGCCGCCCACCCAACGCCAAGAGTGCCAAAGTCGCCAAGTGGGCGGCCCCGGTGCCAGCACAAGGGGCCGAACCACAAGTGCCTAGGCACAAGCCCACGCAGCTCGCGGACCTCCTTCTACTGCGCATGCGCCACCGCCCGTCGAGATGACGTCACCACGCCGGCCAACCGAGACGCTTCATTGGTAGAGGAGTCTGACGCCTGCAATTCCCTCCTTAGCCGGAGGATGGTAGCAGAGGTCCATTAGTTCGTGTGTGTACCCTTCAGAATTCCAATCATATGGGACGTGGAAAGTTGTCCCACTCTCCCAGTATCTTGTGTGGTTCTTTCAGATATTTCCCAAGTGCTTACATTCACACTTCTTGAATGTTGTATGTAAGTATTTCTACCTAATGGAGATCCTGTATTTTATACAAGAGCAGCATACTATACATAGTCTACAATCTGTCTTGGATAGTGATTTTCCCAGTCAATTTTTGCGTACATCCATTCCATTCTCTTTAATAGCTGCGTCACATTACATAATTTACATGGCCAGTCCAATATTGATGGACTTTTGGTTGTTTTCAGTTTGGGGGCATTTTGTTTGTTTTTTGTTTGTGTCCTCTGTTACAGATAGGCTGCAATGTGAACCTCTTTATACATGTGTATAGCTATATATAAATTTCTAGACATAGAATTTCTGGAATGAAAGAGATGCAAACTTAAAATATTGAAAGTTTTTCAAACAATCTAATCTGCCTGATCAACCTTCAAAAATATTCTATCAACTTATACTCCACTCATAGTGAAACATTTATTGGATTTCTATTATGAGCCTGGTATCATGCTGCAGTTTGACAGTATGTATTTACATTTTAGACAATTCCAAAAAACACCTGAGAGAGATAAGAGTGGAGCTCAAGTATAACATTTCCTCACAGTATCAGGCATAGGGATCTGTACCTGTTAGAAAACCTATGAATCCTGCCACAAGTGGAACAGCAAAGAACAGCATGTCCTACAGTAGGTCTGAAGGTATAATAGCATACTAAATTCCACTGTTATGTATAATAACAAATGTTTTTTGTTAGTTTTACTTTTCAGTTTCAAATTTCTGAAAGTATCTTACATACACTGTGAGTAATCTTCACAACCATTTGAGCTGGGTAAACTGAGTCAGGAAGGTCAGAATTATTGAATGAATGAATGAATGAGTAAAAAGATCACTAACTTTAACATATCAGGGACAGTCATAGTCTAACCAAGTTTCAATCCACAAGCATTTATTTACAATTCTGAAAACTTCCACAGAATTACAAATGGGACAATAGTAGTAAATTACTATTTGGATAAAGAAAAGATACAAGTTAGCACAACCTAGTTTACAAACTTACAATTAGGCACATTCAATTTGGTGCTAAGTCATAAAATATTCTTTTGCAATTTATGAAAAATATCCAATAGGCATGTAATGGCCAAAAAGTACAAATGATACAAATATCTATAGACATGACAGTGTACAAATTGTGACATAAATCTATCTGAAACTCGAAAATCTATGTTGGTCTTATAGTTCCAGCTTGCTAAAAGATACAGGCTTTGGGTGGGAACACAAAAAATCCAGACCTGGCCATAACAGGGTTTCCAGAAAGTATGGGAACTAGCAAAGAGTAGGCCTCTGGATGGGAGTGGGCCCAACATGAGATGAAACAATGCCTTAGTGGGTATGTAGTAGGCTGGGATAGAAAATAAAGGAGCAAGGGATATTTGGAGAATCAGACAGCTAAGTATTTGACACTAACAAAATCTACCAGTATCCCATAGGGCCTCAGGTACCATGCAAGGGTTTGAGGGATTCCAGTATTTAATTAAACCAAAATGTGACAATGGGAGGAATTAAGGACAGCCTCAGGGGTAGATGAACTGGGGATGTTACACCAAGACATGTCTCAGTTAACCTGATGGGTTCAAAATGCAGGAAGTGGGTATACGGGACAAGACAATACCCTAACTGTAAGAATAAAGGTTTAGGTCAGGGTAGGGCCTCATGTTGCTAAGTGTTGAAATAGAGCTCTTTAGTTTCTTTCTCTTCCATGTAAGATTCTTTTAGAGGTTAAGATGATGCTGAGCCTGCAAACTAAAGTTAAATGGCTGGAACTAGGGGGAGAAAATAAGTTACATAGGCTCGGAACCAGGAAAAGCCTAACTAAGGGTTTGCCTAAATAGAATAGAACGTTGGAACTGAGTATTTTAATATGTAAACATTTTACTGATACCAAAATGTGTCTTACCACACT